GGAGCCCGCGGGGGCGGCGGGACCCGCCCCGGCCCGCAGGACACCCCCTCGGAACGCGCGGCCCACCGGGCTAAGTCATTTTTAACAGCCTAAGAAATTATCTTGTCTTCGCATTCTGGCCTCTGCTGGCGAGCCAGGTAATTTTAATAAAGAGAAAACTCCCCGATCGTAACTTCTGGGCAGCCTGCCGGCTTCGCCCCCCCTCGGCCGCTGGTCCTCAGCCAGCTGGGTGTCCGGCGGAGTCCGAGAAACTTTTTTTTTTAAGGGAAAAAAAATGCTAATACCTGACATGTCTTTCGATTCATAATTGCGATCGCTGGTTAACCGGGCTGCAAGTGCATTTCACTTCTGCCCACCGCTTGCAGACCAAATGAAAAATATCCGCAGATCTGCATCCAAAAAAGTTTTCTCATTTACCAGCTCCACTGTTAATCCAGGATCGGTAGCAGTTCCCTAAAATAGATCCACTACGTAGCCATTAATTAATAGCATTTTGATCCAGCAACATTTTTAACCTTGAAAAAGCAAAGAATCCTCTCGTGGTTGAAATTGAAACTTAAAATCCTTTGAGCAACAATTTAACTATTCAACTAACGAAAGAAAAATGCATGTTTAAACTGCATTAACCTGTCACAGGCATGCAAACAAATTTCCACGCTGAAATATAAATTATAGAGTAGCAGCGAGATCAACACATTAAAATGGACTCCCACAATTTTAATAATAGAAAGTCACGTTCCAATTAGGCAACATCTTTTATTTTTCCTTTGACAAAATTAAAAAGAAGAAAATGCAGCAAATGGTATAGAATTGCTCATATGGTGTTTTGTGATTGTGGAGGTTTCTCTTTTTATGTTGTCAGATGTGTGTGTGATTTTGTCTTAGCATTTCACCAGAGCGTTCATTTTCCCCCTCCTTTTATTAAAAAAATTTAAAACATATAGAAAAACAAATAGGATTATTTCTAAATATAATCATACCACTGTTTTGATGCAGAGAAGCTTTACTTTTACAACAGTGAATTACGTGCATTTTAATTGTAATTCTGGAGTACTTTCCCTTTTCTTTGAAAATTAAAAAAATACCTGTGTGCCAAGAATAAGATACACTCATGTATTTACTCCCTAAAATAATTTAACATGAAATATTTGTCATATTGGCTTTAGAATTTTTTCATTTATATTAAAGAATGTCACTTTATTTTCCCCTCAGTCCCATTTTCTTCTCTCTCCTTACTTCCCTAGATAATCAGCATTTCCAGTGTATAATCTTGCAGTGTCTGTTATTATTCCTTTATTTCCTAATCATCTATGTATTGGTGTAAATGCATATATCCATGCTTATGTGTTTTAATTTTTTATAAATAGTATGGTGCAGATATTATTTTAATTTATTCTTTACCCTCAATGTGATTTTTGAGAACTATCCATGTTGATACCTACAGAATCTACGTTATTCATTTTCAGCACTTTTATAATACTGTCAGCTTTATTATTTTTATGGACATGCTGTCCTAAAGCAGGTAATTATAAAGTCCCTTGCCTCAAAACTTCAGCCTATTGACTCATGTAATATACACATATTAAAATCCTATCAGAATTCTTTACTAGCTGCTTTCTTTAATTTACAGAAAATGTAAACATTTTTGAATGCAGAGAGAATCTCATGAAAAGCCATGTATTTCATATAATTGGGAAATGTTAACATTTTGTCATAGCTGTTGCAGATCTATTTTTAAAATGTGAACTATCCCACATTTCTGATAGAATTAAAGTCCCTTTTTTTACTCCTCCCCCAAACTATTCTCTACCCTCCAAGGCAAACATCATGAAATTGTCATTAAGCTTCCAATCTAGGTTTTACACTTTTACTATATAAAAACCCATAAAAATATAGAATATTGCTTTGTTTGATTTTTGAAATGTACAGTGTGGTGTTTGCACATATTATGTGTCTTGTTTTTTCCCCTTCATGGTATGTTCTTATTCTTTCTCTCCATGTTGATAAAAATAAACCCAGTTCATTCATTTTAATTACTATATTGTAGATCCATGCATATAAATGTGCCACATTTATTCATTCCCTACTGATGACTGTTTAAGCCACTGCCAATATTCTGGTATTGCGGGAAGGGCTGATAGGAACATATGTGTACATGTGTCCTTTGCACATATGTGAGAATTTCTCTGTGTATCTACCTGGATGGAAATTGCTAGGTTACACACACTTTTTATTAGAGACTGCCAAATGGTCCTCTAATTCACACCCCCATCAACAGTGTCTGAGAGTTCTTGTTTCCCTCACATGACCTTCAGCACTTTCCAGATTTAGATTTTTCTTATTTATGACCATGTGATTTTTTAAAAGCCCAGTATCTTATTGTTTATTTGAATTTCTCTCACTGCAAGTGAGGGTGAACATTTCTTCATATATGGACTGGTTATTAAGGTTTCTGAGTCTGTGATTTGTTTTTTCACAGTCCACATCCATTTTCCCAATGGTCTGTGTGTGTACTCATTTCTTTTTAACGTGATTTGTAGTTCATATAGTGTGTAAATATTATGTACAATATGGCTTTTGATGTCTTCTACACTATAGAACCTCTAAAATGTAGTCATTTTCACTGATCTTTCTGTAGCTCTTGTGTCATTCATGTCTTAGTAAAAAGAATATCTCCACACCTGATGGCATGAAAATAGAGTCTCCTAGGTGTTTTTCCTTAATGTTTTAAAGTTTTGCTTTCTACACTTGTAAAATGGATTCACCTGAGGCTTTTCTTTGTTTTGAATGGTGCCAGGTAGGAATTTAATTTAATTTCCCCTTCCTCTTGTAAAAAAGCTGTTGTCCTGACCTGACTTAAAAGAAGGTTTTTTATTTCCCCCATTAATATGCTATGCCACCATGACTATAAGTTAAATCTCCAAATATGCATGGATACTGCCTACTCTGTCCTTTCCCCACTTCTCAAACCAAGTCTGAGCCAGTACCACACTGTTTTAATTATTATGGCTTTATAACACGCCTGCATGTCTGATGGGCATTTCTCCCCTTTGCTCTCCCCTTTGTTGGCTATCTTGAACTTCTATTCTTCCACATTAAATTTAGTATCAGTTTGTCCAGTTCCACTGGAAAGCCTTTTGATATATTCTTGATTTAAATTTATAAGCTACATTTTGGGAGATATGACATCTTTATAAAATCAGGTCATCCAATCCATTAATATTTTCTTGATTTCTTAGTATCCTTTAATATAATTTTATAACTTGTTGATAAAATTCTGGTACTGCTTTGTCAGATGTAGTCCTAGGTACCTCACAGCTTTTGTTGCTGTTATATGTGGGATCCTTTTTCTATTAGATTGTTTTAATTGGTTTTAGCTGTTGTTTGGAAATGTTATTGATTTTGGAATAATCTTGTTTTGGCAAACATGCTGAACTTTCTTATTAGTTAAGTAGCTTATTTACAGATTTTCTTGCATTGTCACAGAGATAATCATATTATTTACAAATAACACTCTTTCTACCTTTTCCCCTTTTCTTATCTCAGTGAGCTGGGACCTCCAACACCAAATCACATAGGGTGGGAGCAAAGCATTGTTCTCCTATTGCTATCTCATTAAGAGTGTTTCTTATGTGTCATCATTATTTACATTTGCTGTAAGTTTTTGCTAGAAACTCTTTGTTAAATCAAGTTATCCTCTTCCAGCCCAGCTGAGTTTAAAGTAGGAATATTTTAAAACCATGTAATGAACACTGAATTTTACTAAGTGCTTTTTCAAAACTATTGAGATGATTATAGGTTTGTCATTGATATGTTAATGTAACGAGTCACCTTGATAGTTTTTTCTAATGTGGACTTACCCTTTGCATTCTTTGAGATAAACTTTGTTTTGACCTAATATACTATTGTGTTTATTTTGTTTCATTTTTTTATATATTACCTCATGCTTTTCTACCTTAGTATCTATAGTCACAAGTGATCTGGCTTCTAATTCTCTTTTTTTGCACTGCCTTACTTCATGTTTGATATCAGGCTTCTAATACCCCCATAAAATGCACTTTGAAGTGTCCCTTTTTCTACCTTTCTGGTAACAGTTAGTACAAGTACTATTGAGTGTTTGGTAAAGGTTATCTGTAAAATCATCATATTTAAAAAGTTCAACTCAAATTCTCTAGTATTAGTTTAATGGGGCTTTCTATTTTTCTTGAATGAATTTTGGTAGTTCACATTTTTCTTTAAAAATCAGAAATCACATTCAAGACTCTAATTTTTGTATATGGTTCACAACAGTCCCTTATTATTTAAAAATTCTAT